CATCCTGATGCTTCTTTCATAACTCATGCCACTCCATTCTTTGATGCTGTACCTTCCATTACTTTATCCAGTATAAGTTGTTGAAGTCCATAAAAAAAATTATTGTTGTGTCCAAATAATGTCCACTTTCTTCTCTGTACTGTGTTTGTCATTTTATCTTTCCATGTGCTGCCGATAATTCTTCTGAACGTCCCCATTTCAAAAGCTGCTAGATCGGTACGTTAATCATCCATCATTTCTGCATTGTCATCCAGTTTAGGTGCAGTTTTTCTAATTTACATACAGTAAAATTTGTTCACCCTTTTCATTACTATTGCTACAATAAAGTTGGTCACCATCCTTATTAATTTGTTGTGATTATCTTTCTTTTCTGCCATTCTACACACGCGTATACCTTTGAGTTTAACTATATAATGGGTACCAGGACGAGGAGCTCTAGTGACACAAGTCTGTACCGATCAAGATATCGTCAATCTGTAACAGCTATGGACTTGTGACGTTCTTTCTCCAAGGACTTCCCAGGATCAGCCGTGCAATGCACATGCAAAGAGATCCGTCAGTTGGTGCAGATGAGTTTGGCCTGGGGAATACAGGGTTGTTGCAGTGAAACCTACAGGGGTTGTCACTACATTCCCCATTGTTTGAAAAAGGACGCCATACTGTATGGGCAAGGACCCAACCCATTCAGATTTTGTATGTCTTTTGTGGGTTTTTGGGTGCACCGGGTGATGCACCATTGCTGGGCCACCAAGCCGGAAAAGAACAGAGGTTGAGGAAACATAAAATTAATCAAAATATCCCTTAACAAACTTAATGTCTTCTGAGGGTGGGTGCTGAGCTTAAAATGCCCAGAAAGTCTAGGCCGTATTTCCGGATGAGCTTAGGACTCACCAGGAATCCCAGCCTGCTACCTGGCTCATCACTCTCTGCTGTTTTCCATAGCAAAAGTAAATAATCTTTAAGTCTATCTTATTTTACATTCCAAATTGTTACAATCTGTAAAGTTGAATTTTATCTAAAATCAAACAATTTTCCAATGCCAATTTGGATTCATCTTTAGGCAAGTTCAACTGTAGTCATATGCACTACATCAATTAAATAGATCGCAACACATACAGTATACAATATAACATTGTGAGAGATTGAGAGATTCAAGTATCAGTACAGTTAATATGAATCTATAATAATAACAAACAAGCCTTGCTAATAACTTATCTCCATGGAGATCATCTTCTGTTTTTCCTTCACCTTGCCTGAGGCTTGGTCTTTATTTACATGTTTTATAACCCCACTTTCAAGTCCGCTCATAACATTAAAAGAACATCAATTACAAACTAATTACAGTTGAAATCACTGACTTGATTGCTGGTAGGGGTTAAAGCAGTTTTCAATTTAAATTATAAATTACATCACATGACTAATTAAAAAAAAACCATGTTTATAGAGGTTGGCTGATATTCAGGGGCCGTCTTAAATAGGGGAAAGTAATGTGATGCTTTTATTAGCGAAGTGTCTTTATGAGGCTTAGGGAGTGGAGTTTTTAGTCGTGAGAAAAAGCATTGCTGTCACAGGCATTGAACCCACGACCCTGGGATTAGAAGGCAATCATCATAACCACTAAGCTATTCAACTCAACTTCATTCCAACTAATGAGCAAATTGAACTAATGAGGAAATTGACAAAGGTGCAAATACAGAAATAAGCAATTAGTAGAGCTCCGCATAGTACACTATAGGAAAATTATTATACGAAGGTTAGATTTAATGCTTGAAAAAATTTTGAATGCATTAAATCTAACCTAAGTATAATAATTTTCCATTTAGTGTACGATGCATGCTCTACTAATTGCTTTATAAGTCAATCTCTTTCTTTTAATTTAATTTTTTTTTATAAACGACTGTTGCAGCAGTCATCGGTTACTATAGTGATATGATCAGTATACGTGTGCATATTTACATTTAGCTGTGCGTATGCTGATTTTTGCTCCTGCAGTATGCGTTTAATTAACTACACATCAGCAATACAGTACGGATACGACAAATATGGTAACTATTGTGTTACAAAGAACTAGTTTGTAATGCTATTTTGATAGACTTTTGTCAAAGAAACATTTCAGCATTTGAGAGAGATTACAATTCCCTGACGTCCTTTTTGGTCAGTGCATGCAGACAGGTAAAATTGCGTGATGATTTCATAACTAGGCTAGGCTACGGCCTAGAGTAGTAGGAGGAGGCCCGGGCGGCCTCCTGCCTGGCCTCCTGCCTACATCTAAATTTGTTCTTTAAAATAGGTCTAGAATATTCCTATTAATCATTCAGTTTGTTTTATTTATGAGGGCCCATTGATTCAATGAATTCCTTAATTGTTCATACTTAATATTGAATTTGAAGTAAATTTCTTCATGTTCTAATTAAGCTTGTTTTATGAAAGTAATTTTCAATTACAATTCAATTTTTATCGTGACGAGAAAATGAGGAATTTTTTTTTTTGCACACAAACCTAAAAAAAATCAAGCCAAGCATCCACTAATAGAAAAAAAAAGTGGACGCTGGGGAATAGGCAAATAACATTGGGAGTACAGTGATGACATCTGAATGAGTTATAATAGAAGTTAATAACAAAATTACAAAGAGCAAAATATTTAAAAAATGAATTAAAAAATGAGTCATCTATTAGATTATTAATACCGTATTTACCATTCCACTATAATTTTAAGATGATCTATTCCTTAGTATTGCCTACATTGGAATTATTGCTAACAGACAGAGATGTACAAACGGGGCGAATACATAACATCATTGGCGGAGGTAAACATAATCAGAGGACTATAGTGCTATACTAGGCTACTTTAGTTGTATCCCAGATCCTATATACAAATGGATAGGATACGATCTCCATTAGCCTTTACGATCCTATTTCTACATATAATTAAACCAAAATGGCAATAAACCAAAACGGCAATGATACTGTAGTACCACAATGGCAACAGGTCAAAATGGCAATGACAAGTACCAAAATGGCAAAATTCATAGTGCACAATGGCAAGGGAGCAGAATCAATGTCAAGAGCAGGCGCCACTTAGTAGGCGTGGGCCGCAGTTTATAATTTTTCGAATCGTCTTGAAATTAACCCGATCGTCTGTAGGCAAATCGAATGTTGCCATTTGGGCTATTTTTCCCGATTTTAATGTTTAATTGCATTTTTAAACAAATTTTTACATGTCCATGATGAATTGTTTCATTTTGTCTGTATGTTAAAGTTGTATTTGTTTGAATGTTACTGCTTTTACCGTATATTGTGTTTCCCCCAATCATTTGATTATATCGAATTTGTATGTTGTTATATTCTTATTATTATTAAATATTATTATTATTATTTATTATTATTATTATTATTATTATTATTACATAAATTGTTTTAGTCTTATATTTTGTCGGTATTTTAATGTTTTTTTAAATATTTTTACGGTATTTAACCGTTGTTACATTTTCATGATTATAGGCCTAATTGGTTTTATGTAGGACAACATTGGAAATAAGTTTGGTTTTTATTGCTGTTTTAAATTATTTACTGTTTTGGTTTTGAATTATTGCCGTTCTAGTTTATTGCTGTTTTGAATAGACAGTAGAGTAGGGTCACATGTATGGCGAGTTAAAAGGCCAAGCAGTTAAGGCAGGAGCACCGCAACGTGCAGCTTTAATATCGGCGCTGGTTCGAAAGGCCTGCTATGGTTCTGGAGGTGGAACAAGTCTTCTCGGATAAAGGACTATAAACCGTAGGCCCAGGGTACACAATTTGCTCATGTGCACTTATTAGAGATGAGTAGGGGGTTACCACAGTGTACTGGTCCATACAGCCCCTACTGTAAGGAAATTGCACTTTGAAGAGTGATTTAGTTCAATGTTTGACATATCCTTGGCCCTAGTGCCTTAAAAGTTGAATAAATAAATAAATGTGTATTCAATGTTTGGAGAATAATGTTTAATTGTCTGTGATATTATTTTATTATTATTATTATTATTATTTTTTGGTTGAACTGAAAATAAAAATAGTTATAATTTGTATCGTTTCGGCTCAGTCCTACCAATCATTCAGGTACAGTACAGTACTTTGATGAAATGAGTTTCCATGCTCTGCATATTATAGGCCTACATTTTCATGTGTTTTAAGACAGACTAGGACCGGTAAACATCCTGGGATCACCTATCGTATTTTCTCATTTAATGAAGGTCGTATCCTTAAAATGCCCACTGGCTAAACAGTACACTTCTGGAAAATAAATTATCCGTTTGTTTATAGGATCTGTGGTTTATGTAATGTATGCAACAGTTGATCAGCTTCCATAAAGGTCAATAGAAAAATGATGTAATTTCCAGCTGTTCTTACATCTATTGATGTGTTGGTATATACAGTATGATGTGATATGACAAGATAAGAAGATAAACTTTATTGTCATAGTCACAACAAGGATTTTGTTTACCCCACCTCCAGATGTACTACCATATTATTTCAAAATAATTACCATTACTGTAAATGCTCGAACAAGCGCCGCTGCGCTTATACAATTTTTTGAGGCTTCAGTGCGGCACTCTTGAATGCTCATTTGAAACGACGCTTATAAAAAATATTAGTTTAGCGCTTTCTATACCCGTTTCCATGCTACCTCTTTCATGTATTTCCGTAGTTCGGTAAGCCTATCAAAGGTCCTATCATCGTAATTTGTAAATGAACGTTTATAAAGAAATTCTTGTGTTTTCATTGTGTTATTTTTCATCTTACCACTGTGTACATTGTATTTAAAACCCTGTTTCTCAAAGTGTTCATAACACACATGGTAATATATACTCTCGATTAAGCACCACAGCACTTATTTGAGAGCGGCACCTAACGAAAAAAATCACGTTTGGTGCGGCACTTATTCGAGAGTGACGTTTATTCAAGCATTTACGGTATTATAAGTTATTGCAGCAGTATAAATGTTAATTTTTATCTGTATTCAGGGCCAGCAACGCCAAGGCTACCCAGACATTGAGAAGAGCAATGCAGCATTTGAAAAGTATTATAAGGTAACTTTTTGAAATGTCATTGATCATTTTATGTTTTAATATGAGTTGGCCATTTGATAGGAATACTGTAAAATGTTTTTATTAAAGATGCTCGAGATAAATTTTTGTAATGGTAATACTGTATAGTCTGATGGGAAACATTGTCAGTTAACTGTCGAACCATCAGTTGATAATATCAAACCATCTTTATACTTTAGGCCCAGGGCATCGTTCCAGAAGCTGAATGGGACAAGTTTATTTCCACCTTACAGCAACCCCTACCTGCAACATTTCGAATCACAGGCTTTAGAAGGTAACATATTTTTATATCTTATTTTATAGGTATAGTAGTCTGGGGCAAAGAAAATATCCACTTTCTAAACTGTTAACAGCAACAGAAACAATCAATAACGCAATTAACTTCCCCTGTAGGATGGCTGTATGACTCTTAGTGGTGATGCCAGCTGGAGAAAAGAGAGGGAACACACGCGACTTGCCAAACAAGGCAGCAAATACGAAGCCACTAAGATGCGGAGTGGCAATATCCCCATTTATATCAACACCATTTTAACACCAATGTTGCGAAATAGCTGTTGTATTTAAATGGCAGAAACATCACATATTTGGTGATCCGCTTCGCGAGCTTGTTATTGTCAGGTTCTTCTTCATCTATTTGGTGATCCGCATCTAGTGCGGATCACCTATTGTTATTGTCAGAGATCTTCTTACTTAATCATAGTCCACGCGCACATTGTGACGTGCGCGTGCGTTAAAATTTGAAAATTCTCAATATCACTTTTTAGTTAATTTAAAGCATGTTTCAGGTCATTTTCAGCATTCTAAAACTTTCCATAATTTACGCGCCGTACGTTCATTTCAACGAGCACAGCACATACTAAAGCTGGAAATTACGTTATGTTACATATTTTGGGTTTCTGACATTATTTACATATGGAGTCAACTTTTTGTGCCATTGCCGTGCTCACAGGCGTCAAGACTTGCGCGTACGCATACATAAATCTTAAAAAAAACTCAATTTAAAAAAAACAAACTAATTACAGCATATTTTAGCATATAAAACTTTTCAATCAGCACTGCACGCACTTCCTGAAGGTTGAAGTACGGCAGATCACCAAACTCGTCCTCAGTGAAGAGTTCAAATCTAGTTGATTTCTTGGTACCAGACTTGGTATAGTACCAGACCTGGTACAGTACCAGACTCGGTACAGTACCATACTTTGTACCGGAATCATTTTGTTGTGGGAAGGCATATACCAAGTAGAAACGTGTTGTGTTACAGTTTTTTTAAATGTTTTTATTTGAACTTTATTAAATAGAATGCCCTGAACCTGTTGGTTGGCTGATTTACAGGGCCCTTAAAACCATTATGGTAATTGAGTGTGCTAATCGCAGCTAGTGTCTTTGATGTAAGAATTAATTTGATCGATTTTTTTTTTCCAGTAAATTTCATTAGGTTTTTAAAGTGTTATTAATCTGTTGTTCCACAGTCATGCTCAACATCTGTTGCAGTTTCTCAAGAGTCATTTCTTCACTGATCTGATGGGTGCTTCTATTGATGGAATACCAATTGAAAAGCCAAAACCAATATCTTGGTAAATTTGTTCAATTTGTTTAATATTAAACTTAACCATTTACTCCAATCAAAACATTTTCATTAGGTATCCTTCAAAATTTTTTTTTTTTTTTTATGATTTGCATTTGATTTGATATGATTTCCAATATTAAAATATTCTCAGAGACATTAAAATAGTTATAATTGGAGTGGAGCTGATAAATATGATACCAAAGAGTTCTTTTATTAAATTATTCATTTCACTTTAATAATATCAAATTGTGTCAAAAAAATCATATTAATTTACAAAGTTCAGACAAAAACTTAAATCTTGCTTTGATTTTCGTATCTATGTATTTTTGTATCCTGTGTTCATTTCATTGGCAATGAAGGAGTCTTGTAATCTTATACATCGCCATTTTATTTTATTTTTACAAAATTATTTAAAAAAATTGTCATTCCCTTCAGGTCAAATCAATGTTTCAATTGCTTAGAGAGAGAATACAGAACTCCATAATATTAATGAGTTCACTCATGAATCTTGTACAGCCATATGAACTCTGATACGAATTAAAAACCAACATCTGGGATATGAAAATACAAATTGTCAGAGATATATATTGCATTTTGCAACCATGACATTTTGTATATTGCAATTTCTCACTCGCATCTCATTCTAATAAAATAGAATTAGCGAAAAAAAAATGAATATTTATTAAAAGGCTACTGACAATTTTCTCACACATTTATCAGGCAATGTGATTTACATAAAATATTCTATTGCCATGAAGATTAATGGATCATTTAAATACGGCACACCCTGCAAATTAGGAGCATTTTAAAAGATTCTAACTATAAGCAAAATAAATTGCATATATTAGGCTAAATAGGAGAGACTTCTATTACTACTGTACCTCAAGGTTGAATATTACAGTGATAAGTCTTCTAATATTGATTAGATCATAATAATACAGATTAATAAAATATTATAAGTGATGGACTTACTATTAAAATAATTAATATAGCACCTAGGGATATATTGTGACATGAACTCTATAGAAATTGAGGTATTGCCATGGCAACATCTAATGCACCTTAATAGTCAGTTGCTTCAAATTAATGAGATCACAATGGAATGAAACTTCATTAAACCAATTAATTTCTAAACAATTTGGGAAGGAAAGATTAAAATTATAATTTATATACTAGAAATTGCAAATTGCAAGTGAAGTGCTGCGAAGTACAACTGCATATAAATGTTCTTCGAACAAAATTATTTATGCGAGTCAAGAGAAAATAACGAATAATAAAAATATAACAAATAATATGAGACACGACCCATTGTCTATATTAGAACAGTGGTACCGTGTACAATAGTGTTTTGCTGCAGCGACATCTCGCTGCTGGCGACTCGCTGCTGGCGACTCGCTGCTGCTGGCGATGACTCGCTGCTGGTGAATCGATCTGCGCATGTGTATAAAATGGTATTTATTACCGAAAACATTGTGTATGCCAGTCTACAACAAGCGTCGCCTAAATGTAATAATTAGCACGTTGAAATAGGCTATTAAATAAGTTTAACTGGGTTCGTAAATAATATTGGCCTCAAAATATTGTGGCTGAGACATGGGCCGATTAAACGTAGAAATAGGAAACCTAGAAATATAGTAAAAACGCTGAATAGTAATACTCCAGCCTCGCGACATGCGGACGTTGGTACGAGTAGGTTAGTCTTCAAACGTCGCCTAAAGTAATTGATTTTACCCGGCAGAACGAAAGAAGGAAACTCAGCTTTTCAGTTGTCTTAGGCGCTCGTTTTTTGACAAACAATGACCTTTCAGAGGTCAAATTGCTGTCAAGAATATGAATTGGCTGCTTCACAGCAATTACCTTCATGTGTTTTTAAAAAAATATTTTATTTTAAGGAATTAATATAGATTTGTATATTTTCTGCTTTTGGAAGTCCTTGGAGGTACTGTATTAGAGATTACAAAATGTTTTACCCATAAAATAATAGTTACCAAGAGCAATCCTTGGGTCTCAGTGGAGTAGAGTAGCATAGTGCAAGTTGGGAGAAAAAAAAAAATAAATGAATAAACAAACAAACAACTGAAGTTGATGCGAAAGCAGAACATATCAAATCTGACCACAAATATTAATTTAATAGAATGACATTAGGTGAAGTTTCAATTTTTTTGGGAATGTTCTTAGAGTATCAGCGTTTAGAATTGGGGGAGGGAGATTGTTTATCATTGTAGGGCCTGAGTATCTAATATTATGTTGAAAATAATTAGTTTTGTGGGTAGGTATGTGAATATGAGTTCTTTAATGGAGGGTAGTGGTAAAAATTTTTTATTGTTACTATTTTATCATTTTTTTTCTTCTACTGACCTACTATATGCTCCATGGGTAGGAGACAATGATCATGGTGTTGTTTCATTCTTTCTTTTTGTATTTGTGTCTCTAGTGGGTTCAGAAAGCTATGGCCTACAGTAGGTATTTAGATGTCTAAACGATATTATGAAAATCATCTATTTTTGAACTATATACTATATCTACTGTATATTCTCGCTTATCCATGTATCAGACTACTGTATTAGACAACCACTGAGTGTAAGAAGATCTTTTGTATGTAGTGTGTACAAGAAGACCCCTGTTTAACTGTCTTGATTTCTCCTTTCACTGGCAGAAATCCTCCTTTCGATATGATCTACCGCTGGGACCAAGCCTGAATTTAGCCTTCAAATCCCCATACAAGTCCAAGGTCTAGGCTTGGTAATGTTCATGGATTTCATTGTATCAGCATTTAAAAAGCATTAATTAAAACTTTAACTGACAAATTAAACAACCGTCTTGTATGGCATTTGTTTCTGACTTGTCAAGCGTACATGGTGACTATACTAACACTTGGTAGCTTCATTTCAGTAGTAAATATGTGTGTTACCGATGATCCGCACGTAAGACGAACATGATTTTTAAAATATTGTGCGTATAAGATGACCCCTTGTTTTTCTATCGTAATTTTCTATTTTAAACCTTGTCTTATACACGAGAATATACAGTAGCTTATAATTGCTTATTTGTGGTCTGATCAATAGAAAGAAACAGCGGCTCAGGTCATGTGACTTACAGTGGGTATTAGGGTTTGTTTACATCTATCGAGATCGTGAGACGACAGTGCATTGAATATGGCTTCACCTTGTTGTTGATGTAAGTCACATCATAGATGTTGCAAATGTTGGTTGGAATGCAAGTTATAATTTGGTAAATTAATAAAATTAAATTTTCAAACCCTTATCAGTTTGGATTGGTAAGGCTCCAATGGATTGTGGTAATAAAGCTTGGAAGTTTTTCAAGGAAATGTACATTACCTTCACGACATGCATACTTCTCCTGTGATTCGTCGCCGGCTCAGGTACTTTTTGAGCCTAGGCAAAGTCAAGAAAATTATTCATGAAAAAGATGTGCGACCCCACGACCGGCGGTCAGTGGCATTGGCATTTAACCCGGAGGCATTTTAGAAATTTTTAATTTTTTTTTTAAATGCATAATTAAATTTAATATTTTTGCTTGCTCCAAACCACTAAATGTACTATTGTTTCGCTATAATAGTGTAAAGATAACATTTGGTCCTTGAGGCATATCATCAAGATGATCGTCGGAGGCACAAAAATATTTTTTCCAGCCCTGTTTCTATAGTGAAAATATACAGTAGGCAACTGCTAACAGATGTCTATGTAGCTTATGCCTACCTATATTTTATTATTATTTTTTAATATATTTACGTTATTCTTCAATTTCAAGTTCAAGTATTATTTCAAAATATCATCATTGTAGCTTTGCAGCTAAATTGCGAATGATACATTAGGGGAAAAAAATAGACCTGGGTCTATACATTGCACAAAGATTACGAAACAACATTTATATATAAATTTAAAATATAAGGGTAAAGATACACAACAGTAAAAATATATTGATTTAAAAATTAAACTATGATTTAGTTTTAGGATGAACTGATTAATCTGGGCTTAATGTTAGTATTGAGGTTCAAGTAGATAATGCAAGTCTTAAGTATTTTGCTGGTTTAAGATACTAATGAGGTATGGAATCGGGCTTTGCTGGTATCTATTAGTTCTGAAAGTAGTGGTTTGAATTGATTTTTCTTTCTCAAACTATATTGGTGGTCTATTCGAGCAGGTATTTAGAATCTAAAATTTGGTTATTTGCATAGTTGGTGAGCAAATTCTAAGCATAATTTGTTTCTTCTTCACTTCAGCATTTCTATGTTACACGTAGAGCTTATTTCATCAACTGCTAATTATAATGCACCTAGTCGTTGCTTGAGGTATTATCAGGCAATGTAAACATTTCAGTAAGTCGATAAAGGCTTTTTATTTAATTGACTGTGATAAATTAAACTATATTATAAGTAGATTTTATGGCAGTGGCAGGTGGTATAAAAATAAAAATGCAGAGTTTGCAAAACAAGATGTAATAAAATTCTTGCTTGATATGTAGACTAGGAACTCGATCAATGAATTCCTTCGCCCTTAAGGGTCCCTTTGTGTCTGTGCTACCCGGTAACCCGGTACCAACAACTCTCGTCGTCCACTACAGGGGCTGTCTGTTCCAGTACACTGGGGTATCCCCCTACTCGTCTCGAAGGATGTACTGGGTTAATTATAGTGCACACAAGCCATTTTATACACTGGGCCTACGGTTTATAGTCCTTATCCGAGAAGACTTGTTCTACCACCAGAACCATAGGCAAGCGTGTCGTTCAAACCAGCGCCGATATTATGGCTATTGCTTGCGGCACCCCTGCTAACCGCTCGGCCATTCGACTCACCAAAATAAATGGCCATGGTTTATGATATTTTGTAGAATGCACATCCGTTTTTTGAACAAATAAAAAAAATAGTGAAATTATTCTGATGCTGGGCATTTAAGATTTAGATAAAAAGATTGCAATTTAAGGCCATTAATATTAATCTTCTCATAATTTTCACATTAATAATTGCAGTGAACAGTTATAAACACATCAGATTGGCTTCAGTGATTGTATATGCCTTAAAAATATTTTATTATGCCTCTTCAATACACAGTTTACGTAGTGTTACTTTTTATGTTGCCTTACGGACATGGTTACGTCACAGATTTTCAGGTGACAAATTTGTTTCTGGTCCTACCAAAAACAAATACTTTTGTTAATATAGAAATGATGATTACACCATCGATTTGTTTTATTATATTCTGTAAACAAAAAGATGCTTATTTTTGCATAATGTTTATTTGATAATTTTCTACTTTGAACCATACATGCGTAATCCAACATTTGATGCATTGTGGATGCCTGTTTGCTTTCAAACATTTGTTCATAAGTGATTGCCAATTTATAATCAGATTTCATATATACTTTTAAAATTTTCTTTAATGAGGGCAGCTCAAAACAGCTTAATTAGCCAACAAAATCATGAGGTATGTCTTCAATGACTATCCATACCACGCATAAACAGATTGCAAGAAATTTCATATGAATGATACAATGAATAATGGTGAGCCTAATGTTATATACAGGTACCCAGATGAGTTAGCTTGGCAGTTGAGTTTAACACGAACATGCATCCGTAAGGTGCCAGCCCTTGAGAACCTTCACAAATTCTTGGTCGATGAAACAGAAAGTGTAAGTTTATTGTTTTATTGAATCAGTTTTGTTGCTGATGTAACAGTATACAATAAATGAATGACCCATCTCTTCCTTTAAGGCCAGCATAAAACCGGCCTAGGCCTAGGAATCAATCAAGTTCAGGTTCGGCTAAATAGACTCATATCCTCACCTCTAAAGCTGGCGAAACTGCATACTTTATTGCCTTTTTAGTTGATTTGGCATAACTTTCATTCAGTAATTGGAGTTCCAACACTTCTTCGCTCAAAAGTACAAATGGCCCAGTACCAAATGGCCCCATTTTATCGTTGGAGAGCTTCTTGAATGACCAGCTTCTTCTTGACGCGTGTTTTGCCTAGGCTATGCTAATTTTTCCCGCTCGCATTGCATTTGGGATTTTTGTCGTCTTGGGAGATAAAAAAGTACTATTCAACGATCGTTGACTAGTACTCAAATAACCATGAGATATTCATTTTAAATTTATCTCACATGACCTGTTTTCAACCAATCAAATTAATAGAATATATATAGGTGTGTATCTTGTCCTATCAAAGTCTCAACAAGCTTCATATTGTAATGTTATTGTAATTATTCCTGCATATAAACATTGTAATTATAATGATTTAGTAATGGATATTATGTCTGTTGTTAATGTCATATGAATTTTTTATTTGAAATTAAAAATTAAATGAATAAATAATAATTTGTTTCTTCTTTGTCAGGGTAATATTAGTCGTCAAGAGTTGGTCAGTATGATTCCACCATTATTGATGGATGTCAAACCTCACCACCGTGTTTTGGACATGTGTGCAGCCCCTGGTTCAAAAACAGCCCAACTTATTGAGATGCTCCATGCGGAACAGTCTGAAGGCTGGCCAGGTTCGTTGTGCTTGTCGCAAAGAAAAATTTATATTATATGGATTTTGTTTATTGTTTTTATTTTACATTGTCGTCTTACAACCAAAGACTGAAATACATGAAGTATAAAAAACAATGTAAATCTACAGAAAACAAAAATACAGACCATTTGATGCAGCAACAAACATGTTAAAAATTAACATTCAATTAATCATTCTGATAACTGTATGAGATATTGAAAGGAAAAATATGGACCAACTGGGATATGGGGGTTGCCTAGATTTCTGCAGGGTGAAGAGTCAGAGTTGTTTGGATCAAGTCTTCAGTATCAGGGTTGTAACTGTAGGAAAATAAGGGTGGTTGGTAGACATTTTAAAGGTGGGTGGGTGATAACATTGTTAAACTTTAAATAAAAAGAATGGATTTTAAGGATGGAAAAGTGGGTTACTGTAGCAGTAGGGCCTAACTACAGATTACTAATTCAGTACGTTCTACTGCCTTAACATGTGAAACTTTTCTGATATCAATATTATAATTATCTTGAGATATTATTTTTTGAAAATCTCAAGATGATTGTGTGTAGAACATTAGGTAAGTAATGATAAGGCACAGTTGTTGAATCTATTTGTCTTAAGCCATATTTCGGAGATCGTCTTACAGTAACTTGGGTATGGAAACTATTATATATATATATCAACCGGTTATATATTTATTATATATATATCAATCGGTTATCAACCTTTGTCAAGCAAAGGTTGATAACCGAAAACGTTTGCTCACTATTAAATAAATATATACCTGGCAACTTATTACTTTCTCTCTGGAGTTTTTTGTTTTTACTATTTTGTTTGCCAATGCAGCCTTCCAGTTTATATATATATATATA